TGCATGTTTATGGGCTTTAAACAGAGGAGTCTCAGATCATTGTGCAATAGTGTTAAAACCAGAGGATGTTAATTGGGGCCCTAAGCCTTTTAGATTCCTGAACAGCTGGCGTCATGAGCCTGGTTATGCAGATTTTGTTAGAAAAGAGTGGGAGAATATAAAAGTTGCAGGCTGGGCGAGCTTTGTTCTAAAGGAAAAGTTGAAGATAATAAGAAGTAAGCTTAAAATCTGGAATAAGGAAGTGTTCGGTGATCTAAATCTAAAGATTTCGAAAGTTAAAGATGGGATAAAACAATGTGATATTAAAGATGAAGAGTCTGGCTTATCACCCTCTGAAGTGGTTCAAAGGAAGGAATATATGGCACAATGGCAAATGCTAATGCAAAAGAAGGATACTCTCTTGTTCCAAAAGTCAAGGCTGAAGTGGTTTCAAGAAGGGGATGCAAATACCAAGTACTTTCACGGGTGCATTAACAAAAGATTGAAGTTAAACGAAATCAGATGCTTAAATTTTAGGGGCTGCAGAATTTCAAAACCTGCCCTTATTAAACAATATGTAAAAGAGCATTTTGATAAACAGTTTTTAGAATCTCAGTGGCATCGTCCAGTGTTAAATGGGTTGGTGTTTAAGAGATTAAATCCAGATCAGGTTGACGTGTTAATTAAGCCTTTCACTTTGCAAGAAGTTAAAGAGGCAGTCTGGGATTGTGAAAGTAATAAGAGTCCAGGGCCGGATGGCATTAACTTCCAGTTTATTAAGGATTTTTGGGTTATACTACAGGATGATTTTATGTTGTTTATTAATGATTTCCATTCCAATGGCAGGTTAGTAAGAGGACTAAACAGTTCATTCATTGCCCTAGTTTCGAAGAAAGATTGTCCTGAACGTATTGAGGAGTTTAGACCAATCTCTCTTATTGGTTGCCTTTATAAAGTTTTGTCCAAAATTCTTGCTAATAGACTACGGATGGTAATTTCCAGTGTTATTTCTGATTGTCAATCAGCATTTATTAAAGGAAGACAGATTTTGGATAGCGTTCTGGTGGCTAATGAGGCGGTGGAGGAAGTCAAGAGGAAGAAGAGTAAATGTATAATGTTCAAGGTTGATTTTGAAACGGCCTACGACTCTGTGAGTTGGTCCTGTCTACAATTTGTGATGGGTAAGATGGGATTTCCTACTATATGGTGTACCTGGATTGCGGAATGTCTAAAAACATCTAGAACGTCTGTATTAGTAAATGGTAGCCCAACAGAAGAATTCGGTGTATCGAAGGGGTTGCGTCAAGGAGATCCATTGGCTCCTTTCTTGTTTTTGATTGTAGCAGAAGGCTTATTCACGTTGTTCAATAAAGCCAGCCAGTTAGAAAGGTTCAAAGGGTGTTTAATGGGTAAGGACAAAGTACCGGTTGATATTTTGCAATATGCTGATGATACTCTCATTATGGGGCACGCTTCTCATTCAAATATATGGACTATCAAATCAATTTTAAGGTTGTTTGAACTCGCATCAGGGCTAAAGGTTAACTTTTCCAAAAGCACGCTCATGGGGTATAACGTAGAGTCACAACAGTTGCAAATAATGGCATCTATTTTACATTGTCGGGTAGGTTCCACTCCTTTCTCCTACCTTGGGTTACCTATTGGGGCAAATCATAGGATGATCTCTACTTGGCATCCAGTCATTGAAAAGGTTAAAAAACGTCTCTCTCGATGGAAGTGTACAACTTTATCCTTTGGTGGTAGAATTGCTCTCCTAAAGTCTGTCTTACACTCCATCCCGATATATTTTCTTTCCTTCTTCAAGGCTCCCAAAGGTATCATCTCTTCCATTGAGTCTTTGTTTAAATCCTTTTTATGGGGTGCAGATCAAGATAACAGAAAAATAAATTGGGTAGCTTGGGATGTTGTGTGTAGAGACAAAATTCACGGTGGGTTGGGGATTAAGGATTTGACGGCCTTTAATTTAGCACTTTTGGGAAAATGGTATTGGAGAATGTTAGTGGAGAAACACAGTCTTTGGGTGAGAGTTATTAGATCATTATACGGTATCGCTTCTCATTTGCCAAATGGGAGTGGTGCAAAGGGCTCAAGATGGTGGGTAGATCTAAATAGAATTGAAGAAGGGGATTTGGTGTGTAATAAGTGGATGTCCAGTAAATGCTGTAAGGTCATTGGAAATGGGGTAGACACTAAATTTTGGTTGGATAAATGGGTGGGTCATGGAAGTCTAGCTCATAGGTTTAGTCGATTATATCAAATAGAAATTAATAAAAATGCTTCTATTGCTGAAATGTTTGAATGGGAGGGGGTGTGGTTAAATGGAAGTGGAGCTGGAGAAGAAGATTATTGGTCTGGGAGCAGCAACTCCTGAATACTCTTATTAATTTTATCAATGGTACGAAATTCAATATTTCTAATGAAGATAAATGGTCCTGGATAGCTGCACCAGAAAGGGTGTATACAGTTAGCTCGGCTTATAAGGTCTTGAGGAATGACATAATATTTGCATCTAATGTCATATTTCGGTGGATATGGACTAGCATTGCTCCAACAAAAGTTTCAGCTTTCGCTTGGAGGGTTATTTTGAATAGAATCCCAACTAAAGATAATTTGTTTAGAAGAGGTGTTCTGCAAGCAACACAATTGGAATGTGGTTCGTGTAGGAATAAGGAAGAAACTACTTCTCACTTATTTTTTGAGTGTGAAGTCTCTTTTCAGCTGTGGATGGCGTGCTTCAACTGGTTAGGATTAAATTCTGTTATGCATAACTGTTGTGTGCAAAACTTGGAACAATTTTATGGGCTTCGGTACTGTTCTGTGAAGTATCAAAATTGTTGGATTCTTATATGGTTATCTGTTATTTGGACCATCTGGCTGGCAAGAAATGACCTCATATTCAGCTCTAAAATAACTCATGCTTCTGAAATGCTAAATCTGGTACAATTACGCTCATGGAGATGGTTAAGGGCCAGATTCCCTTCTTTCAAGTATAATTTCTTTTCTTGGTCCAATTCTCCTGGTGTCTGCCTCCCTTAATACTGCACATTGGCTGTTAACTTTCTGGGATACGAGAAGTTTGTCGGTTATTAACTAATTAAGTCGTTCTTTTTGTGAGTTTTTGGGTTGACGTGGATTGGATTAACTTTCTTAAGTTATTTTGTAAAAAACTATGTGTATATAGGTTAGAGTACCCTTTGTACTCTTGTTAATTCTATTTTGCTTATAAAAAAAAACGTAACATACGTTATCTTCATTTCGGTCTATATGCATTTACTTTTTAATGGTTGCGATTTCACGTTAACTCCTTTATCATTAATCTTGCCGAGAATCTCACCTAGTGTTTTCAATAACTTTCTTTAAATTTTTATCATTAAATAAATTCCCTTTTTTATCATTGAAAAATTGTAGATGGAGATGATACTTCCAAGACTACTGAACAGAGAAATTAATTAACATGTTAAAAATTCTTAAATCAAGTATTACCATCCATTTAGTAATTAGTTGAAATTAAATAATATCCAATTTTACATTAGATTTTATTTAACGATGATCACTAGATAATAAATTCCTTTTATTAAGGTATCAAATAAATTTCTTAAAAATATAAAATATTTGTAAAATTATCCTTTTATTTCATTGGGTTTAATCAATCTTACGGGCATAAAGATGAATATAATGGCCTTTTACATATTTAAAAAAAATAATTTATTAAAAATGCCAAAAAAACTAATAGTAATACATAAATTTAAGAGACAAAACAATGGAAAAATTATTTGAAGAATTATTAGATTTACGTGCTAATCTTTAAAGATGATCATATTTTTCAGTCATTTTTTAATAACCTTCTTCGACGTAAAATTAGAAATAAAAGACAGAAGTATTTAATAAAACGAGGTAATGTGACAAAGAGATAAAGATAAAATGTTTTTAGAAAGTATTATTTATAAGATAAGTGGGAATAGCATATATATAGGTCATCTTTAAATTAAAGATCAAATATCTTTTTTACTATAAAAATTAATCTTTAAACAACTGGCCAGTAATTTAATTAATCTGATCAAAACACCTACAATTAAAAATCAAAATTGTAATTTGTAAAGCATTTCGCTGTTAACATATTTTCCATAAAGCATTTAATAATACGCAAGGTGTGTCAAACATGTAATAAATAACCTTTGATTTTAGAGTAATGTTATTCATACACGCTTTTCCGCAAAACAAGAGATCATAGATGGTGGAAAAGAATACAGAAACGTGAAATAAAGATGTACGAGAAAATAATATTATTCTTGATACTGCACGTACGGCATGCAATTCTTTCTTGAACTTCAAGCCACGATCCTAGCTGAATGACTCGATTTAAATCCCACTTGTGTTATAAATTTTTAATTTGGTATTTATACACAAATCAGTAGTGAAACTAAGACCATATATAATTAAATACCAACTTAAGAATTCGTTATGTGGACACCAAATTTAGAATAAAATGAACTAAATTAATAATGTATTATAGAGTTAACTGTCCCAAACTAATAATATTTTCTCATATTAAAGCCAATTTAATAACATTTTTCATGTAAGATAAATCAAGAATACACAACACAGTTTAAATTATGTAATCAACCTAATTTTATTCTTGATTTTACTACACGGTACGCAATTCTAATTATTTAATGAGTTTAAGGTATTGTTAGAGTAAAAACAAAATAGTAGTTAAAACCTTAAAAATAATATACTTTTAAATATAAAAAAATGGAGGAAAGTCTCGGTTTTAGCATTTCAGGAATAGATATTCTTTTGAACCATTCCAAGTCATGAGTTATGACCATTTCAAAGTTAGGGTTCCATAAATATTATTCATCCTTTTATAATGTTTTTTGCTCACAAAATTATCCTATTATTATTTACGGCAATGGAATATAAATGAGCCGGTTCCATATATCTTTCCTACAAATACAAGAGACAACACCGAATCGGCCTAGAGTGAGTGGTAATAAACCATGATGTCATTGTCAACCTCCATATGTTTGCACTACTTGAAAACTTTTCTTCTTTTGCGCACCCTTGTCCTTCCAATAGTTCAACCACTTTCCTTCAACATAGCTAATTTCAACGATACTGAAAGCGCAAGCTTCGTTGGATACACAGGCGTAACAAAGATTGAGAACGGAACCCTAGTTCTCAACTCACTCGTCAACAACGGAGTGGGACGAGCTATCTATGCCCAACCTCTGCGCCTCAAAAACTCTTCTAATGGAAATGTCACTCACTTTTCCACTCGTTTTTCCTTCACTATCGACGTGTCCACAAAAACCTACGGTGACGGTTTTGCCTTCTACGTGGCACCTCTTGCATACCCTATTCCGCCGTATGCAGGTGGTGGTACTCTTGGCCTATACGGTGACACGCAAAACATCGTTGCCGTCGAATTTGACACTTACGTGAACGAATATGATCCACATATGTTCCACGTGGGGATCAACAACAACTCCAAGGTGTCCCTTGCTACTTCCTGGTTTGATATTGAGAGAAACATAGGGAACATGGTGCATGCGTTAATTACTTACAATGCTTCAGCAAAACTCCTTTCTGTGTCGTGGTACTTTGATGGAAATACCTCTGGTTTTACGCCTAACAATTCTCTTTCACTCCAGATTGACCTAGCGGAATTTCTTCCAGAGTGGGTGACTTTTGGGTTTTCGGGTGCAACAACTGGTGCGGCCAGCGAGGAAAATATTATTCATTCATGGGAGTTCACTTCATCTCTGAATTCCACGCGTTCCGAGGTGAACAAAGAACATGATGGCATCGTGATTAAATACAAGTTTCAAGTCAAAGTAGTAGTTGTTGCAGTGGCTTGTTCTATTTCTTTTGTGCTCGTGGTCCTTGGTGTTTCTTGGTTGATCCTGTTCATCGTCAAGAAAAGAAGCACCGAGGGTGGTTATGATGACTTGGATAGAGGAGCCATGCCTAGAAGGTTTGGTTATAAGGAATTAGTCGCCGCCACCAACGGGTTTGCAGATGATAGAAGGCTCGGAGAAGGTGGCTCTGGAGAAGTTTACAAAGGGTTTCTGAGTGACTTAGGGCGCGTGGTTGCTGTGAAAAGGATTTTTTCTAATGTTGAAGACTCGGAGAACATATTTACGAACGAGGTGAAGATTATAAGTCGTCTTATACATAGAAACCTTGTGCAATTCATGGGGTGGTGCCACGAAGAAGGGGAGTTGTTACTGGTTTTTGAGTACATGACTAATGGAAGCCTTGACACTCACGTCTTTGGAACTAGAAGAACTTTGACATGGAGTGTGAGATACAAGATAGCGTTAGGTGTGGCTAGAGCAATTCGTTATCTTCATGAAGACGCAGAGCAGTGTGTTCTTCATAGGGATATTAAGTCATCTAATGTTTTGTTGGACACAGATTTTAATACTAAGCTTAGTGACTTTGCGATGGCAAAGTTGGTGGATCCAAGATTGAGGACTCAGAAGACAAAGGTGGTGGGGACATATGGGTACCTGGCTCCGGAATATGTAAAGGAAGGTAGGGCTAGCAAGGAATCAGACATGTATGGTTTTGGGGTTGTGGCTTTGGAGATAGCATGTGGAAGGAGGACTTATCAGGACGGGGAGAATAATCATGTGCCTTTAACGAATTGGGCGTGGAAACACTATGTGGATGGGAATATTCTGAATGCTGCTGATGAGGGATTGAATAGGGATTATGATGTGAATGAAATGATATGCTTGCTTACTGTGGGACTGTGGTGTACCCTACAAGACAACAAGAAGAGGCCAAAGGCAGAACAAGTTATTAATGTTCTTAAGCAAGAAGCGCCGTTGCCAGTGCTTTCTATATGACATGCCTCATTGTCCCTTTACCGATTGGAAATCTGATTCCTTTCGGTTACCACCCTTCACTGACAATACAGTATACATGTTCAAGGCTTTGTTTTAAGGCTATTACAATATGATGTTCCCCTCTTTCCTGTTGTTCTTAATTATATAGAAATCTGAATTTAACTCACACGTCATTTAATATATTATTTAATATATATCATTAATTTATTAATATTATAATTAAGTCCTTATAATCTATTAATTATTTTTTTAATTTTTAATTTTTTACTTTTTCTTTTTGAGTTCATACAAAAATTAAATAATTCTTTATAAATAATTACCATTTCTTTTTACTTTTAAAAAGTTAATCAAAATATAAATTTCTAAAATTATTTTAATTAAACAGATAGAATAAATATATTAATATCTAGACTTGGTACTCATATATATATATAGGTACATATATTATATTTTTTTAGAATTTTTTATTTTTATTATATATTTTTAGTATAGAGGTTCCTTCTTGAGTCTTAGTAGCCTTGCCACCACCTGCTCCCTATAATTTTTCAACGGTCTACTAAGGTCAAGAGCCTCGTGATGGAGATAGGGACCATCACCCTCTTTAATTCATGCTTCAAACTTTCAACAAGCTTTCTACACCTCTAAGCCATATGGGAGTATAAATGAGCCAAATGCTCTCAAACTTCATAACATACATGAAAATAAATATGCTCTCTTGGTACAATTTCATAAACTCCACCTCCTTAGGTATCTCATGTTATCTAAAAAGTACTTCTCAAGGAATACACTCTTAAAGTACTCTTAGTCCACCTCAACTCTCGAGCATTTGACGAATACCCCTCCACCAAAACTTTGCTTCTCCCAATAACCATATACATCACATAAGCTAACTTCCTCTCATCCGTGTACCCTTTAACATTCCAAAGATTTCCTCCATCTTACCCAACCAATGGTTAGCCACATCAGACAAGGAGCTATCTACCTCATCCACGTCCAATGCAGGATAACTAAGGTAAGGAACTCTTGGGACCTCATGCCTAGTGTGGCAAAATCCCATGCTCGATCTCATGTCAACTCAAGACGATTCTCTCTCCTCATGCTTAGTGCTACTCCTTTGGCACTCGTCACCAATCTAGGTAGAGATAATTCTCTGACCTCACGTACAACACCATTCAAACGACACCCAAGACCACTTCAACTCGAGGCAATTCTCTCTCCCCACATCTAGTTGATGGAATCATGCCTAGGAAGGCAAGAGGTAATATCTTGAAGGATCTAAGAGGAATGAGCTAGACATGAAGATTTGGGCTAGTTAGAGCCCAATAGGCCCGGTGGGCTTGGAAGGCCCAAGTTGCTTCTCACATGGGCCACACCTTGAGACATCCATTTTCTTCTATGTTGTATATATTATATTAGTATAGATTTCATATATTTTGGTCTTGTATTTTGGACCACATAGATTATCATTTTTGGGCCATAGGCTTATTGGGCCTGTTTTTGGGCATTATGGGCCTTTGGGCTTTTGGTACCCAATATTGGGCTCATTTTGTTTCTTTTATTATTTTTTAATGTTTGTGATAAGTTGGCCATTCTATTTAGGCCATTAGAATAGGAATATAAAGGGAAAGTTTAATTAGACAAAGTTAGCTAAAATTAAGGTCACATTTAGGAGTAGTTTGAGTTGCATTTGGTGCACATGGGCTAAATGCAACCTTAATGCACATGGAATCAACTCTTGGACGTGCACATGGGGCTGCCAAGAAATTTGAATTTCAAATCCCATTTGAAATTCAAATTTTTGGCACCAATTGTACTCCTTGAGTTGGCACCATTATGCTTGCTTCCTTAGCCTATAAATTGGACATTTCTCTTCACATTTCAGTACTTTGAACATTTATGAGATTTCTGAAAATTCACTTCAGCCAAGTCTCTCTCAAAGTCATCCAAAAAGTCCATAATCTTAGCCTTAGGAATCCTAGTTTCTAAGCCTTGGCCGTGGGCACTCTTTTGAGTTTCTAGCTTGGATGCTTCCATCTTAGCTTAGGAATTCTCTCTTCTTTGACCTCTAAACTACGTTCAAGTCCATAATTCTTCAATAAGAAAGAAGATCCATGTGCTTGGAGAAGGAAAAGGAAGCAAGTTCTTTCACTTCACTTGCCAACTCCATCACTAGTACCACTAATCTGCCAATTAATAGAATTGATGACATATTATTTGACATTATTTTCGTTGATTTGCTGAACCTTTAAAATAGCATATCTTACATTAATGTATAACTATAATTATGTAATTATACTAATTAGCCCAACTATAGATTAGCATTTTTTCTAGCAAACTTTAAGGTTAAAAATAAATTTGGAATCTTATTATTTAATAGAGAATTCTTTAGAGGAGAACACACAATTTTCACCTCAATTTCTCTAAGTTTTACATGGTATCAGTCTCGATTCTGATTCATACCTAGTAGTTTTCCATTGCGCTCCTAGTCTTTGTGTTCTTAGTTCTAATCTCTTGCCATGGTACTATTCACAATGCACATTGTTCACATCACGGTATAATGTTTATTGGCAAGTATGATGCCCTCTTTGTTCGCCTTAATGGAAAGAACTACTCAACCTAGGCAATCTAGTTCCAGATCTTTGTCAAAGGCAAGGAGCTTTGGGGTCATGTTGACAAAACTGATTTTGCTCTTTACAAATCAATGCACAGAGAGGCACATGCCAAATGGGAGGTTAGAGATGCACAAGTTATGACCTGGATCATTGGCTCAGTTGAGCCAAATATCGTCCTCAATCTCAGACCCTTCAACACAGTAACAAAGTTGTGGGAATATATAAAGAAAATTTATAACTAGAACAACATTGCTCGCAAGCTTCAGCTTGAACATGAAATTACCATTTTTCAACAGAATAGTCTCTCAATTTCTAAATTTTATTCACATTTCATGAATCTTTGGGTTGAATATACTAACATTGTTTATAAAGATTTGTCAATTGAAGGACAAATTGCACTCCAAAATGTTCATGACACCACAAAATGAGATCAATTTCTTATGAAATTGAGATATGATTTTGAGGGCATTCGGACCAACCTAATGAACAGGGCTACTGTCCCTTCCTTTGATGAATGCCTAAATGAACCACTTCATGAAGAAGAACATCTCCTCACTCAGATAAATTTGAAACAACAAAAATATGCCTCTCTTCTTATGGCGTATGCAGTACAAAGTAGATCTTGAGGACAAGACATGAGTACTGTTCAATCACTAGTGGAAAAAAGACTTTTAAGATCGATTATTTTTTTACTTTTAAGATCGGTTAAAGAATCGATCTTAAAAGAGATGATCTTAGAAGATGGACTTTTAAGATTGGTTATTTAACCAATTTGAAAAGTCTAGCTTTTAAGATCGATTACGAAATAACCGATCTTAAAAGTATCAGGTCTAATTTTAATAATTTTATTAATGTAACAACCCTCATATTTGGCCTTTCAAGAATGTTATTTCACGACACTTCACTTTGCAACGTGTTTTGTCCTTCCTGCACATTTTCTGGAAAACTTCCCAGGAGGTTACCTAGGGATGGCAATGGGGTCCCACGGGGGCAGGTAATAGTAAACCCGCTCCCGCCCCGCTAAATGAAAAT